GTACAGACATCACTTGCTTACTTTCCAGTTTACGCGATGCTGTTTTGGTCGAATTAACTTTAACTTCCATAGATCCGTAAGCACTGTCTTTTGTTGAACTATAGGAAGAATTATCTTCTTTCACTCCGTATCTTCTAACGACATTTGCTGGCGCAACAGGTTCTATATTCTGTACATCGTAAGAAAGAGGATTTTTCTCTGCTGGTGAATGTTTTATACCTTCAACAACTTCTCCAGTCCTTGGGTTTATATGTTTTTCAGTGTCATACCTTAGTGTCACTCTATGACTTTCATCTATTGGATGTGGTCTTGATCTATCCTCAAGTTCAGCATCACTATCATCATATACATTTTGTTCAAAGTTGTTCTCTTCCTGTAACGGAAAATTTAATTCATGTAAACCAGAATTGTAATGTTTTATACTTACTAGTTGCTTTAGTTTTTGTGTTAATTAAAGAACTCACCTCTTCGTCTACTTCTTCAATGACACTATTTTGTATCCATTCCCGTATCCTTTGTTTTTTCACTTGTCTATCTACAGTTGTTTCAATTCCGTTATCACGGAAATGTTTTAGTAGTATATTTTTTTCGTTTGGATCACTGTGAAAACTGTACATAGATGGACATAATTCATCGATATCACCCCCAGCTGTAATATAAAATAATATTAATTAGAATATTAATATCCCTGATCAATTCACACAGCGTTATTTCGTCTTGTAGGTATGTACTAGACAAATAGTACTAGATAGATAGCACTAGATAGATATGCTTAGATGCATTTTGTAAGTTTTTGTAAACATTATACATACATAATATACACCCAGACGAATACAAACAATCATACTTATGAATACAAATATTTGTACCGTGTGAGGTTGTTTCGAACTCGCGATCATCGAGGTTGTCAACTAATTCTTTTAATAGAATTTCCTTCCCAGTTTCTTAATTTACTTCATACTATATCCTATTTATTTAATAATATATTACCGATCTCAAAATAGATACATAGTGTATGTATACATAATTTTACAAAATTGACTTTTTTCTAATTATGTAGGTATATTATTTGGTATTATAGGTGATTTAAATATTACTAGGTTACATATTTCATTATTGAAAATAATAACTTACCAACTCTATCTGTGTAACCTTTTGCCATCCATCTGTCATCCAAATAACGGGAAATTTCTTGAAAATTCGTCGCTCTTCTAAACACTCTGGGTTCAACAAATTTCTTAAACATTTTTTGTGCTCTTGAAGAAACCATTTTCCATAATTTTGGCTGTTTCTTCAGGGGGTTTGAACTACTGTACCAGTTATAATAGCTGAAATGTATTTATTTACAATATATGTTATCTGATTTGTATAATTTCTTTTTTAGAGCAGTCATAGTTCAGTAATTTGCTATTCCTATTTATAGACACTACACTACACTAGTTGTGTGCTTTATATTTCTCACAGGCTCTCTGTTAATACAAAGTCTTGAAGTATCTGTGGCCATCTTGAAATACTGATATTCTTCGTAACCTAACACCGACCTAAATATACATATAATACTTTGCAGATATGTACAAGCTCATTTTAAAAGTATAAGAGCTGAGTTTCTTTTCAGTTCTTCTTATTTAGAAACTAAGAAGTCACTCCAAACTAATGGTAGATTTGAGATATTATAGGAGTCTCTAATAGATCTACATGAATAAAGATATTTTAATTTTATTTTATTACTTATCCTAAGAAATTTATTACTACCACTCCTTAGAAGTAATTAATTAAAGTTAGTGAAAGTATGTACTTGTATATTATTAATAAATATAATAATTAACATTAATTATTTTATTTATTTATTTACTTAATCTTTGTTGAGCAATAAATTATGGTATAAAAATCTACCATACAACTTTCCGTAAGTGCAGACTGCAGGGATACTTGATGGTGGTGATGGTGACTACATTAAATATAAAAGTTACTAAACTAGAAATGGAATACTCATTATTAATACAAGATTATTGTTCTTACCTAGTATATCTAGGGTCATCAAACGCAGCTTTTTGCCATGGTAAACATCCAGTCAGGCAAATAAATATAACTATACCAAATTGCCAAACATCGTGTGTAATTAGTGCTCTGAAAGTAAAGAAACAAATGAGTATGAGTGATGTAAAACAGTGTTTATACTCGTGGATTTGTTTATAACGACTATGGTACTACAAATGCTGCTTTGTGAACGTTTGTTTAGGCAATCTGGAAATAGTACCTACAAAATTCACGTTATTTATAGCCTCGCATATTTTTGTAAGTTTGTATAGAAAGCACATATTACATCTGGAATTCGAAGATTTTGTCGGTATACATTAGATTCGTATAGATCACGATTATGAGCGCAATTTTCCCAGATTATTATCATTCCGGAAGGCTTATATTCACTTATGTGGCTTTCCCAACAATACGCTTTACAATGCAGGTATTTTTCATGCTATCCACAACCATTGGCAGTTGGTGGACTCAAATATTTAAGTACTTATAGTAGAGAAGTTTCTCTCGACAATTATTATGGTATCCTAATCAATATAAATAGATAATGAACCTTGTCTTTATAAAATTATTATATCGACGTATAATATATACTATGTCAATCTTCTTACACTGATTCCTAGCATCCCTAAATCCCGACAAATATAACGAAATATATATTTGTTGCTTTATAATATTTTATGTATCATAATAAAATTATCTAATGTCAAGTGATAACAATCGCCTATATAATTACATGGACAGCACCACGTACATTGTTACCAGGCACATTCTAGAGACTAATATGTTCTCCTTTTATATCATATAATTTCACTGCACTGATATGTATTTGGATTAAACTACCAGTGTGGTAAAATTACAGTTACAACATATATTTCATTGACGGCCTTGCTTCGGAAGTAATGCGGTGTGCTAAACCGTCTAGTGGTTTAACACACCGCATTACTTCCGAAGGACACGGGATTGATTCAGCGTACGGTACAAACATTTGTATTCTGTTATTATTTGTATCGGCCTGGGTATTTTCTATATATGTTTTGAATGTATTTACAAATTATTCCTTACTTGTAACTACTGTCCACGGTCAAAGTTAAAACTTCGGGAGGTGAATACGGCAACCATTCGTTTCTCCGTCTGACTACTGATTGGGCTTTCCTTGTCTCACCGAAATCACAAAGTTTGATTCTTGAAAAATCCGATTTGAAAATTAATATGTTATCTAGTTTAACATCTCTATGTACTAATTCTCTTTGGTGGAGATGTTCCAAAGCAGCTGCTAATTGTTTTGCAACTCGTTTAGTATGAATTTCTCCAATTCCAGTGTCGAGCATATTCGATGTTAAGTCGCCTGTAATAAATTTCGTAATTTTACATTAGGTTCCGTTATTCGTATGCTCGTCAATTAATTATTTTAATTTCTTAACGCTAACCCAATGTTATGAATGATTTGTATAATTTTCATATAAATATTATTATATATAAAAAAATATTGCATTACAAACCAATATAAACATTATACTAATGACGGCTGGTACTGAAAACTTGCCACATTTATATTCATTCAAACTCAAACAATTTCGTTGGCAAATATCCAAAGCATAAAAGTGTGTAACGTAACTAATGTAAAGTGACTATTTGAATGTATATTTTGTACTATAATGTATATTTTTATTATTATTATACAATTTATCCAAAAGCGTAATTTATTTAAATGTATATTTTATACACGAAACAATTATAAGATAGGTTCGAACCTTAAGTCAAAACCCATAGTGTTCATGAAATTTAACAACTTTCGCCAAGGGACTTAGCTACTTTGTAATCCTTATGAATATTATAAATGTGAAAGTGAGTTTGTTTGTTACTTCTTGACGCCTTAACGGCTTAATCATAGGCTTTAAGTTAAAGTCAATATCATGAATATATAATTTGATACATTATTGGATGTCCATTGTAATTACTATTTAGTACTTTAATTATTATTTAGTAGTTAACCAATAAGAATAAAATCATACAAGTATATACTGCACTGTATCTACATCACTAGCGAGAAGAAAAAAACGTATGCCACTACGTCACTGTCTCATAGTACGTACCTACATCCAGTAGATGACGTCGTAGGTGTAGGTAAATTGGTACGAAAATAATTTCAATATGTCAATATGAAGTACCTATACACTACGCGCTACGCGCTGGGTCATATGATTTAACTATGTTCTTTTGTTAAAGTTGATTTTTAATGTTTGTAACATGTAATGTAATTTGTATTCGGTTGGTATATATCACACAACTAACGCTCTATATAATAAAATCGACAAATATTCGTACAGCTTACCTAAAGGAGCATATTCCTGACAAAACACATAAAATCCAGCAGTTTCGAATGCAACATCGAAAGTGGTGACAATATTTCTATGTGCACTTAAATGAAGACCATAATGGAATTCTCTATAAAAGTCTCTAATGGAAACATACGGCTTAGGTAAAGCTTTTAAAACTATTTCCGTGTCGGAAGCTCTGTGTTCGACCAAAAGAATTTTTCCAAACCATCCTTCTCCAACTATTTGTAGTATATCAAACTCTTCCACTAGGCTTACCTATAAGAAAACATTTTATGAGTGAATGGTACATAGAAGTCTAATGGGGTGCATTGTTCTTTCAAATTTTCTAATCTAAACAAAAGGAGTATGTTCTCAATTAAATTTATTTTGTGTAAAGTTTTCTTTATTTATTTCGAAATGTAGAAATATAACTATAAATATAAATGTAAAAATATATAAGAGTCTGCAATAGACCCACGTGACCACGTGAGAGAGGCATTTAAAGTGTAACATAGGTACATTTAAATATACATTTTTAACGCAATTTATAGATACATGTACACAAAAATACTATTGCTATAGGCATATTTTCATTGTTATAGATGTAATTGAAATATTAATATGTCTTCATTCAAAAAGTTGTTTATCCGAGGATAAGTTTTCAAGTTATTTAAAGACACGGTTTACCGGCTGAAATAGGTAGACAAAGACCAGTCTATATATTTCAATCTGTCGGTTATCGGACCTCCTTTGACGCGGAAAATAAGGCAGTGAAATTACAAATTAAAATGTAGATCATCTCCGTCATTCGATTAAAAAAAATGTTTCACATTGAAGAGATTCCATATTCATCGTTTGTGATAAATTAAAAAGTTCAAAATTAAAGCTATATTTTTTTCATAACGTATAAATCCTATGTATTACCAGGAAAGTTACAAAAGCGATATAAAATGGGGTAAAGACATCATGCAACTAGAAACTTTGAATATAATTAGATGCCACTTACCTTTTCTAATTCAAATTCTCTAATTTTATGTATAGAGCCCGTTAAGGCTCGTCGGGTTCCGTTATTCATAACTATATTAAGTGATTATAATGCGTCCATGGAAACTGAAACAATAACAAAATAAATATAATCTTATATCTTCACGTTAGGAAAGAGACTAGGCTTCTTAGAAGCTGTATTTTGTAATTGTATTATTTTTACTTCCATAAACATATATTATGTTCTGATTTTGGAGTCTCCAGAGACCTCCCACAATATATACAGAACGGTTTATGTGCAGGACCAGCTATTGATGATAATGCATTATATAATAGTTTATTTCCTAAACTTATTAGTTTCATATATTTTAATATTTATTTGATAAAGAAATTGCACTACAAGCGTAGGAACAATGATATAATTAAAAAGAATTGGCTTTAAAGTGGAAAATATACCTACTACCTATTCTAAATTCTATACGCATTTCAACTAATTTACACTATATAACTTCTAGGAGCGGACATCTGTATAAAATAATATATGTAGTTATCCACCATCAAAGTAAAGTTAAAAAAATAGTGTTTAGTGACCTATTGACCTGATATAATTCGATTATTTTTTTGTGACTTAAACTATTATGGCTAGTTCATAACGTCCTCATTTCCCATGAAACAGATGAGTGAATGATCTTGGACGATTGCCAAAGATTGATGTCTACTCCAGATCCAGACAGCGGGCCTGACGTCATATTGTGACGTCATCTCCTCGTCTAATCCCCGATGTATTGTCTAAAATCGGTTTCATGTAGAATCTTTTGTGAAATGAATTATCTCATTCGATGATATCATAACTAATTTATCAGTATTGTGAGCTCTGTATGAAAGTTAGTGAGTACGTATATTTCCTAAAATAGGTTGTCTTGTATAGTTATTGGTGGCGGATGGTGCGCCATCACATCAGAATTTTTTTTGAATTAAGATCATACTGTGTATAATTTCGGTGTTTTTTTTTATGTACATTATATATGTACTTACAAAATAAATCTAAGTGTTCATATATATCAGTCGTTTAGTCTGTCAATAACACGATCTGCTTAACTCGGGGCTAGATGACGTTGTGTGAGTTGTCAAGGTGTGTTATTATAACTATTTCGTTAAATAATTTAAATAGTACACAATTTGCATATAAATTACGATAATAGGGGATTAATTAGCTTTTTACCAATAGCCAATTTTAATTTGTATTTTATCTATACTATATTTATACCATTATTGTATTGTGGATGTTGATATTTTTATTTGTTAATTATGTTCCATTTTTGCTATTAACAATTGTTTATAAAGTAATTTTTGATGTTCCTTATGGAACAACAAAAATTACTTTATAAACAACACTTATGTGTTGTTCCATAAATCCTCGATGCTAGAAGTCTATCATTCCTATCGATTATATTATCTATAAAAGGAATGTCCTGTATGCTTCATACATAGTTTTTTTATATAATTAACTACAATATAATATTAGTACGCTTTTTAATTAAATGAATAGATTTCTTAACACGCTGCTTTTCTGTAATAAGCATAAATTCCCTAATTGATATGAAATGAGACCCTGATTGATGTATGTTGTGTAAGTTGGATACTTTTGGGTACATATTTATTAGTGACATTTTGATTTCTTCTCTATACGACGTGAAGATCTAATGATAGAGGATTTCTTAAAATTCAATTGAACTAGAAATATCTGTTCGTGCTAGCCAATGAAAATCAGCATCAGTCAAGTGTATGAATAAAAATCTATGAACATGAATATAGTGTCAATAAATAAGTACTTAGGTACTCTTATGCTTTATTTATATACTTATGATCTACCTACACTACAAACAATAGGAAGTAGAGTGACAACACATGCCATAGATGAATCATCTATGTACAATATCTTAATTTATGCTAGCATAAATATATCTTGGATATTTTCTGAAATTCAAAATTCATATTAAAGAGAAGATAGTTTTTAATTGGATTCCGTTAACTAATTTTGTTACACACATAGATGTATAAGTTGCTTATTTTTAAAAATAATTAATAATGTTTTTATGTAAAAATATGAAAAATTTATATTTTGAATTAGTCCTAATCTTATAATATATGTACAGATCTATATAAGTCAAACATAAACCTATGAATAGTTCACGGCAGTGAATAACTGCTTGCATGCAACGTTATAAACTAAATCATCTTTTTCATGCTAAGATTATATATTCAGGCGTTATATTAATAAGATTTAATATTACTATTACTTTCCATAAGAAAACTATGACGACATTATAAATCTATAAATGAACCAGCTAGGTAGTATAGGTCATACTATACACATGCTAGTGTGGGTAGGATTTTTTTATATAATTTAATATCTAATATATACAACATATTAAATGTGTGATAATTTACGATCATACATGGAAGTTGCCAGAGATAAAGGGCCGGTGCCCTTAAACGTATAAGGTTCACAATGCACTTGGATCGAGTCCAGCACCAAAATAACAATAACACTTCGAAGTCACATATTAATTTTATATGCCGTACAATCACTAAAATATTATTATGTAAACTAATACACTTTGATTCCAGTGTGGGTTGAGACGATATTCTCGTAAGGTGAGATTAATAGGGTAGGACGTACGGGTTGGGCGCCCGGCGCTGATGGTTCAACTGGCGGCGCGTACGCAGCGATTCCCGGGATGCTATTTTTGTGCTACTGCACATACAAAAATCAATTCGTGACGGAAATGTTACGATCAACGACCTGGTAAGTGAAAACTAGTATTATTATATTGGTACTTAAATTATAATTATATATGCAGTCAGGACTGTTTTCCTAAATAGGATAGTCAGATGCATTAGCAATTGTTGACGTTGTCGTGGTGAATATGACACTTGACATACAGCCTCACAATTCGCTGGGTACTTATATCTGAATTCAACTTGGCAGGTGATGAGTATACCACCACCTTTCATATAAATTTCTGGTTTGTTACCGGTGTTTTCTTCAACGGACAGTCAGTGAAAAATATAAATTAATATAGAAAGACTGTTTTTTTATTTCAAGATTAATTTCAGTTTTATTATGATCTGTTCGGTGAAAGTCCCAGTAGTAAACCACTACGTCACTAATTCTTAATTTGTAGAGAGGCAAAATATATCATGAGTGTATACAGATAGGCACCTATTTATATAATAGAGCAGCATTATCTATCTATATGAATATTCATTCTGCTTCAGCCTTTTCTCATTAATTCTAGGACATTTTATTTATTATGAACTTTGTATTTTCACAAATCCGCGACATCGAAACCTACTTTTTTATTTCTCTTTTCCTACTTTTTGCTTCTTATGTTAGATAGTCACAAAACCTTACGACCCCACTTTCCATTTTCCACCATCGGTTTTGATGGGTAACAAATAAAGTCGATACACTGATATTACTCGTGTTTAAAATGAAGGGTGAATACGTAAAGTTAAATGTTATGAAAAACAATGCCGACTAATGCTATTAGGTACACCTTCACCAGCACAAGTATTCAACTTTATTTTTTTAAAATCCTATAAAATACTTTGTGAGGTATTGCATTCAAGTATTTGATACGTACCTACACGTATACCTATATTTTATTTTTGGAATTAGCGAGTTCCTAGACCTCATCGTGGCGTGTCGCCAATAATAAGGTACGTTCATACAATTATGAACGTACTTTATTATTGGTGACATGCTAAATACAATACAATTTTATATGTATTATTATCCTTATTGCCATTTATAACTTCTTTGGGCGTCTGGGCCTTTTAGGATTATTTAGCTATGTAATTGATTTAAAATTCTGTTTAAAACCATTTTATTAACATAAGACATTGAAATTTGTTAGAATTATCGCACCTGTTATCATATTGTATTTATTATCATATATATTTTTCAATCTTAAAGTAATTAATTTCTAAGTAAAATTGATATTGAGTATCTAGAGCCGTAAGATAAATTCGTTTATAAAAAATGAAATTATACTGACGGCGACAATGACTGCGTCACTGTCAGTGTTGTTAATGAAGAATGAATGCTACAAGAACAAAAAAAAAGGTAATATATAATGAACTGTTAAAAATACAAGAACATATGTTTCTATGATTTGTTTGTTTTGTTTTGTTGTAGTTATAATATTTTGAATTAATTCTTTATTAATCTTCTTACTAACAACTTAAATATATATTCATGGTTATAGTGCTGCACCAAAAATATAGATCAGGTCATCCTTTTCAAAGCGGTACAATGTGCAAGGTAAGTTTGTTTTGAATTCTATAAGTTGAAGTGAAACGTTGATTAGGTCCTTATGTTAAAAAAAATTAATTATATTTAAAAATGCTATACTTTCCTTTATATTTGAAGGAGTGAATAACAGGAAAGGTTTGCTTTAATTTATTTATACTGATATATGGTATAAATAACGATAGCAGACTTTGTTATAAAATAAAACTAACTGCAAAAACTACACGTATCTGAGAAATTCTGTCACTGTTTGAAAAGTATATTATTATAGAGTGATATTCTTTTAAAATACACAAAACTCATAAAGTTGAAAAGCCAGGATTTAAAGGTGAAAATCAGTATGAACCACTAGTAATAAATATAAAAGTTAGTTTATATTTTAAAATAAATAATTATAATAATTTATTATATTTTTCAGTAGGTTTTAATATAACTAATTTACTTATTGTGCTTACTACATGAAGACATGTGTATGCTTAAGGCTACAGAATTATAGATGTTGAATTATTAATTAAACACAAATTAAATTATAATATAATATTCTTTCATAGTAATCTGTGGTTCGTGCTACTACTACACTACTACTTGAATTGGGAAAACAGCCTCACCACATAGGCCCATTGATTATATTTCAACATTAAAATTTTATAGCAATAAAATGTAGTTTGAGTTTTATATACAGTTCTATAAGTCTAGTATAATGTGCAGTTATACTAATTCATACAAAAGCATTCAAATATATTGTTAAAACAAAATAAAAGCTCTTTGATAACCAAGCAAATTTTATTAGTATTAATATTAGTAATGAAGTAAGTATATTGTTTTTAATCTCAGAGACTAAATTGAGAGGTGTAATAATCAAATTTCAAATAATGTTACTAGCTGTAGATGGTGAGTGGTTATTGTAATTGATACTGATGATATATAATTTTTCATTTAGACAATTAATTTTAAAAGTTTCTATGTATTTTCCACAGCAAATTTCCAAAATTAGTGTTTCCATTACAGTCTTTGTATTAAACAACACAAAAATACATATTTGTAGTTTCCATTAATATAGTAATTTTAGTAATTTACTAAGATTGGGGAAAGCCTTTGTAAAATCTTAATATACTTTTGTTGAGGAAATTGGTAGACTAAGGCACATATAGGGGTGAAGGGTGTCAGGTTGATCTCCACACGGTTCCCCTTGGAAACCATAGTGATAAATTCCTAGTGAACTAGTGAATGTGTCTCAATGGCCTAACTGACTTGACTTCATGTTAATTTTAACGCTGGTTCCCCACCAACATAAACTGTTAACGTAGGTGGATGCACCATTCTATTAAAAAATGGAAGACATGTATTTGTGGGATATAAGGTGGTCCTTGACAAGGATGATTACTCACGGCACCACAAAAGACAAATTATTTTTTAAAACAAGCCCTTTAATGTAGGTATTGCACATGACTGGACTATTTTAATGACACATATGAAAATCATTATTAAATCCCAGAGCATGTAGGTGTTTCATTATACGAAACCAGATATATTAATATATTCGAAAAACTAAACCTAAAGCCTATGCAATAGAAACTGGTTTTCCTCTCTCTCTGATCCGATACTCGCATGGTGAATCCATGTAACGCTAAGAAGTTCGAGTCTCTTTTTTATTTTTTTAAAAGAGCTAAATTTTTTTACTATATACTGTGACCGCGGTCTTTCCCGCGTGAAATTTCAATAAAAAATATAGCCAATGCGTTATTCTGATACATAACGTATATTAGTGTAAAGTGTTATCAAAATCCGTTCAGTTTTTGCGTAAAAGAGTAACAAACATCCGTACTTACAAACTTTCGCGTTTAAAATATTAGATATTATAGATAGATGTATATTTTTTGAAATATTATATAATAATATTTATTAAAAGCTATACTTTATTAATGTTGTGTTTGTACGTAACTTCGTCACTGTTGAAGCTGTACACGCGACTTCGTCCGCGTGGAATTTAACTTTGTTTTTCTAAAAAGTAGCCTAAATTACTCCTTATTACATCAGTTACCTGCCAAAAAAAGTCCGTCAAAATCGGTCCAGCCATTTCAGAGATTAGCCGGAACAAACAGACAAAAATTTCAAAATTTTATTTTGGTGTATGTACCGTATTTATATTCATATGCATGTAGTAAAAAACGGTTATTTCTATATTACAAACAGTCACTCCAATTTTATTTATATGTTTCTGCTGAAACTTTCTGCTATCCTATTAGTGTTATCATACATGCGTTACGGCATAGTTAAATGTATATTCACTAGTTAGATGTAATTACATTTTCAGTCGCTGTTTGCCGGTAGTTCTTTACTTGCAACCAATTTGCCTTTAGCACTAAAAATTGAACTTAAACGACCATAAAAACGGATACCATCACTAGGTTTATCGTCAAGGAGAGAGGTTTTAGAGTTTAGTTGCACTTAAAGGACTCCTTGTCGGTGATCCTGTGCCATTTGGAATTGCATCTGATTTTTACACACACAGGCAGGCAATATGAAGTGCGCACTTGTACTTTCATGAACCATTCCCTCTGTCGCGTATAGTGCTATTACTTGTCTTCGTATAAAACGAGAAGTGTTAAGCTACATGGTTGAACTACGACAGGTGACATCAAGATTGCTCTTTCGTCTAAAATTCAGTTGTAAGATTTGACAACATAAACTTGTAAATATATCTAAAAGAACTATAAAAATAGAAAGAGCCTTCGTTCTCTCGAGGGACAATAGGTTTTATATAATACTAGCTGTTCCCGCGACTTCGTCCGCGTGGAAATTAACTTTATTTTACTAAAATAAAAGTAGCCTAAGTTACTCCTTATTACATCAGCTACCTGCTAAAAAACTCCCGTTAAAATCAGTACAGCCATTGCAGAGATTAGTCGGAACAAACAAACAGATACACAGACAGACAAAATTTAAAAAAATGTTATTTTGGTGTATTTGTCATATTTATATTAATATGCATGTAGTAAATAACGGTTATTTCAATATTACAAACAGACACTCCAATTTAATTATATGTACGCATAGATATGAAATTATACAAGGCTTACAGAGCAATGAATCGGTAGGAACCTCTTAAAATATTGTAAATTAACCTTATAAGCATTCTGTGGTCCAGCTAAGAAGAGAGGATATACTACATTATATATTATACTACCTATAATATATAGATATAATATTACCTGAAAATACATAAATATATGAGTTATCTAAAAATAGTCCCAAGATTTTTAGGCCATGATATTGAGATACAAACTAATATAGCTGTTATTATTTGAATCCAACTCCAAGATCAATCCTTTAATGTTAGACACTACAATCTTAATATACACTAATAATAGTCTATTATATAACAGTTAAGTCTAATAATATGT